CGATACTTCAAGAACATTGACATGTTCAAAATTACTGATGGCGGAAATTTTATCCATAATTACGTTTGAAAAACTTTGGAGAAGGCGACTTTTCTCTTTCGGCGAGATCTGCGCTTGAGACGAAGCTCCGGATATCGGATCCGATCGGACGTCCGATCTCCTGAAATTATCGGAATTAAAAGGATCCAGTCGGGCGACTTCGACCTGGGAAAGTAACCAACTTTCTCTAAAAGCAATGACTAAAATAATTAGATTCTTCCAGACCGCCTTTCAATCCTGTAACTTATGGTATGGTTTTGACTTTACGATTAATCGAGTTGATCACTGTACTTCAAGACCATATCACCGAAACCAAGACAGTATAGATTTTTCTGACTTTTATATATACTAAGTTCTACGATTTTGAACAAAGTCTGATTTCAAAAGCAAAAATAAGCCAGAAGCATCTTTTCTAACTAAATCTTGCAGACAGGTAAGTAGTCATAATTGAATAGATAGTTTCAAAATAACCATTTTTTGTGCTACATCGATTTGTATCATGCAAGAGCCGCTGTTAGCGGTATTGATATAAAACCACAAATTGTGGAAAAGGAATTAAGAATTGAATATTCAAATGTGATTCTGCTATTCTGAGAATATATTTTGTACTATCTACTCTTGTGCAGATATGAGAAAAAAATTTGTTTTTGAAACACGTGGTATATACGTACACGTTCATTCTCGCCCAGTTTATTCATTTCGATTATAACTGTCGTACTGACATTATCATTGAAAAGCAAGTCACGAATCATATCACAAATGATTTGCACTCAAAGTAAAACGACATAATCTTAACAGAAAAAGAAACTTTTATGATGAAAGATTTTTCCTCCTCTACAACGTCAAAATGTATCGGAGAAGCTTGAGATAATTGCATTGTCAGGCGTTAGAGCAAATAAATATATGGGAATTAACGATGACAAACAGAATTAAAGAATTGGCAACAAAGCAGATCGTTGAAAATTCTGATGAACAATTATTATTTGATATTCAAGGGCACTTAGCAAAGTGACATGACAACGTTGACCAATTATTAGCGCAAACAATCATATTATCGTTTAGTAAACGTACGTAGGAAGGAACGCAAAAAGGATATGCGGATGGAATTTTTGTAGAGATACAAACTACTGAAGGAGAGTAATACTCAGTCAGATATATAAGACAGGATGGCTTGATAGTTACGTTATTGAACTCGCACTTTAAAGTTGGTGTGTTAAAGCCTAGGCTTCAACAAATACATCATAATCTTGAGCAAGTTACTTATGTCTTCATGTCTCGAATCATCCGTTCGACAGCGTACTTACTACGCTGGGATGCACAATACCGTTTCCCCAGTTAGTCTTTTTGGCTTTTCAGAAAGCTAATACACAGGCTAGTGAGTGTATGTAAGAAGCTCAAGCAGTTGGAGGAGAGCACTGCACATCATACTAGCCTTCTGTCCATAGCTGCTGTTGATGAATAGAAAGGCCGGCTGTTAGAAATACCACTGTTGATTTACATGTTATTGAAACAGGTCAATAAAAATGTATTACGCAGTGTAAGCGATTTGCACAAAATGTCTTTTACAACACAGGAATCACTTGTGATGATCTTTTAGTTTCGATCTCTTGCTTTTTTACATGTTTTTAAAGTCGAAAGTACAAAATGTGCCTTCTATCTTCGTAACCAAATGGTACTTTTCTCAACACTAGAAGCGAAACTCAAATATCATTACAAGTGATTCCTAGATTCATATTTTAACTTTCACTTGGATTCAAGACTTGTTGGATTATGTTCTGTGTATTCTCGAGAAAAATGTGCTTTATTAAACGAGAATCATGCCAGCATCGCTATCAAGATCAGCTGGTTATCCATTGGTGCTTTTAATGGCTTGTGAGAAAATGCTCATAACTTCTTCTCACAGCGTCGAACAGAGCTGCTCTATTGATTATTTACAACTCTGATCTACAGTTCACATTGTCAGATTGTATAACAATTTAGCCTTGATGCGTCTCTAATTGCTCACGCTTACGTTTGCTATTGTTTTTATCTTTAAAAGCTAATTAGAGATGATTGGGAGAACATTATCGACGACAAACCAAAATCAATACCATTGCTAGGACAAGCAACAATAATAGTACCATTAGCCAATATAAATCAATTAGACTTTTATTATTTGTCGAAAAAATATTAATACGGCGAAAATGTATTCTTTTTTCATCTCAAGTTTTAAATTTAGTTGTAAGAAGACATTTCTGCTTTTTTGTTATTGATAAAATATATCCTGTGTTCTCACAGGATTTAATACGAAGACAAGAAATAAAGAGAGAATGCACCCAGGTTTACTGAGCAATCTTCTGTATATGTGACTGAATCAATAAATGTAATGTTTTCTACAACTGTTCCATATTTCTAGATTGGTATGTGAGTGAATACAAATCAAATCAATTAATGTCGTTAAAATCACCAGTTACCAACAATTCATCACAAAATTGTTCTATGTGTAAAAATATTCCATCACAAGCATCTTGTTGTGAATGTTATCAAAACTTTTGTTTAAAATGTTTAAAAAAACATCTATCTGAAAAATTACTTACATTTGATAATAAAATTCGAAAATTACAAGAAAATTTTGGTAATTTATATACAGATGATATGATCGAAAACGAAATGAAAGTAGCTGAACAACAAATTGTAGATTGGCATCGAGAAAATGTTAATAAACTGAATCGAATTTTAGATGACACAAAGCGTAATATTTATCAAACTGGTAAAGAAAGTGAACTAAAATTAAAAAAATGGCAACAGGAAAATACATCAAAATTGAACAATATTCGTGAAAAAC